AMWWTATTCATTCTATCAAACCACACAAATCTCTTGAGAAGGTTAAGTCCAGTGGTCACGATCCCAGGGGTAACAGGTACCTGCTAGACATCCCTGACCTGTTTATCTCGCTTTTTTCGTCTTATTCGTATGAGGTACACAAGATTAAAATTGCTTGATTTATACACTGTACTGATGAATGATTTTAGAAGCGGTGTCGCTTATTCTCAGTTTCTTACTCGCCACTATATAGAAAYACTGTACTATAATGATACCGATGACTAAAATAACTCTTATTTTTAGATTCTTGAATAAATACTTTGTTGGGATCATTTCTATATATGATACAGCCATAGATCTGTGAGCTTCACTACCGTAGCTGGAATATCACAATGTATTTCTTTYGGTGCAGGGAAGGAATGAATGAATGAATTCATCTTTGGCTATAGATATTTGAATCAGATTCAACTTTCTATTGAACCGCGTKCTGAATACGCCCTCTTATCAGATTRCAAATCAAAGCAGTGCATCAATGGCCGATATTCTTGTGTGGTACCTTCAAAAAACTATTTTCCTGCAGTCAAAATTAAGCGTGAAACATTGTGTTTTACCCTCAGTTAACGATATCGATTCAYCAAGACACAAGTCAGCTGACGATCTAAGCACAGGCAGCCCATCTCCTACTTTRGAAGACAATGCTGCAGCCATCAGGCATAGTCCTCTAGTGGAYTTGGAGCCAAGACAGAGATCCATTAGTAAGGGAGGACGGATTGACTGGAGGGTGTTCCAGGAAGAGGTGCGTTCCATTATTTCCGTAGTGTTGCGCTATGTTGTGTTATCTGAACGGTACTTTATGCAAAGTTATGTTGTTGTTATGTTAAGCGTGTTTAGTACATTACGCGATTGTAAAATATAATATATTGTACTTTGCTATTTTGTGCTACGTATATTATACTATTACATTGTTGATTTTACGTTACGTTGTGCAATTCTTCGGTGAGTTACGATATTTTACGTTGCCTTGTGTTGCTAAACGTTAGAGGGAAGAGACGTTACGCATCTTTTTCGCCCCTGGCCTGTCAATCAATTTTCTTCTCACCCATGTTTCCAGGTGAAGGTGTCCCATCAGAGCGAGACCAATCGGTCATGTGTGATGTGTAGAAACTACGAGAAACAGCTTCAGCAAGTGGAAGCWGAAAGACAAAAATACAAAAACTTGTCGTCTAATTTGCAAATTGCCTTGGAACAGGAAAAGGTATTATTTCTGTCTTTAATCTTTAATGTAATCCTCACGCTTAGCGATTGCCGACTYCTCTGACTGACATTGTTTTGTACCCTTTGAGGTTAATGATTTTAATGATATTTGACAAATAATCATAACTTTGGCSAGAATTCAGTCAACCCTGGGATTGCGCCACACAGGGTAACCATCATGATGTTATTATCGTGTTTCAGAAAGCGTTATTTGAGGAGCAAAGGCTTCGCAGTCGTTTAGAGCAAAGCGTTGCTAACGCTGGACAAGATGCTCAAACACAAATTAATGAACAATCGTCYGTAATGAGCAAGTTGGATCAAATATTGGTTGATGTTCAACGGAACTTTGCTGCGAGTAAAAAGGAGGCTACAGCACAAATAGTAAGTCGTTGACCTCTTCAGGCTAAGGACACAACATAGCAATGCATGATTATTTCTTATAGTTTGTAAAAAGCATAGATTCTTTCATCATTCTTCAATTGACTGCAAGTTGATAAGGTGTAGTGCTAAGAAGGAGGTTATTCCGGCAAAAAGACCCTTGGAAATAAATTAGGAAAAATTAATTTCCGACCTCGCTGGGATTCGAACCCACTAATCTTCTCGCTCCTTCCTAGCACTAGAACTTTSCTTTATTTCTACCATGCAGTCCTTACATTCAAGTTGATAAGGATACGTTTTGCTATTGTGCCGTTTTGCTGTTTTTCTTCTGTCCTTTCAAATGTTACGATAAATAGAAAGAGGAGCCGATGGGTTCCTGGCAGAATATATCTCTTCTGCAGTTGTAACTTACTGGGACATGTTGCCAGCAAAGTTATAAGACATTCAGAAATATATTTTTTTTTAAATCACGGAGAGGAATAGGCTCTAGCAATTTTTCCCAGGAAACTCTTCACGACCTTTTCAGGAATGAAAATCCCGAATATCTGTTAAATACTCAAGTGAGGGAGAGTTTTTCGCAATTAAAATTCTAGTTCAAAATAACTTTSCCAGGAGAAAAATCGTRCAAGAACAGTTATTTAGAAGAACAGACCTGGTCGACCCCTACACACTCTTATACAGTGTCCMTCAAAAGCATTTGTGTCGACCGTCAMAWCATTCTTTAGCGATTTCAGCTACCCATTATGATAACAATGATAATGAAGTTTATTAATTATATTGTACCCTTTTTACCTTAAGGCTAAACTGACTGCTTCAAGAAACGAATTACAAGAAGAGGTATTGCCTGGATAAATAATAATATCCATAGCAATCTCATTAAAGATATAAATGTGGTATTTTTGTTCTTTTAAAGTTATCGARACTGCGTAGTGAGTATAGCACATTACAAGATTCAGCACTACAACAACTTACTCAGGTATCGTCTCTATTTTCTGGTATATAGTGACTGTACGGTTCAAATTAAGCAGCTATTTGAATCTTTATATAAAACGTATTACTCCCATTATGAAAGGCATCTCCCAGTAGCTAAGACTATGGACGATAGTAATATATATCTTGATTTACTTTAGATGGATACAGACTCTAGACTAGCAGAGATGAGAGAACAATTGATGCAAGTAAGGACAGCTGGTGAAGGAACAGAAGAGAAGCTAAGGAGCGAGGTKTGTTGCTAATATTGTTCCTAGTGGCGTCTTCTTTGTCGTTGATGTTATTAATGCTCAAGTTGTTGATGTTAGTTGATGACATYTGTTGTGGATGGTGTTGGTTTACAAGCGTGATAAAAATGTAACTCATGAAGTAATGGTAGTCTTTAACATCGACAGATCGCATTTTTGAAGGAGCGCGCTATATCTGAACAAATGAATAAAGACAGCATGGAAGAAATGTTGCTGGGAGACGTGGAGAGTTACAAAAATGAATTAGGTTGGTATTGTTAACAGGTTTTTGTTGAGTTCAGTTCTCGTATATTGTTGAATCTCATTCGASTTATATATTGTCAATCCTGATACGTGTTGACGGTGATAAAAGTGTTAGTCGATGATAGTTGAAACGCGCTTACGTTGGACCAACAACTATCATGCGCTGTCATGCACTCAATTTGCACAACATCAAGATTGCCATTTCGGTCCTGATTTTTCAAACAAATAAAAATTGGTGTTAATGATATCCTATCCACTTTTTCACAAAAGGGGTGTTTTCATTCACAAATTCAAAAATTACGGTGCTATACGACGATAAAAGGTTGTCATTGACCCTCGTTAATTGATGCGTCAGTAATGAAACGCATCAACGCCAATTTCCATTGCCTAGAGCTTGGATTGATGTCAGTACATGATAGTGCAGCGAAATTTACCGCAGTCATCGACTACAAAAGATTGAAAAATTGGAAATTTAACTAGCAATCTAGGAACTTGTCACTCAGYTAATCAACGTTTGGCACATCGTAATAGTGCCAATAGCGTGGAATCAACTTTTAGTAATGAACCATGTTTGCATTATTTCAGAAAAAGTAACAGTGGAACTAAATAAGGAAAAACAACTCAAACAGCAGGTATACAGTCGTAGCATTTCCCGCATTAAAATATCTGATCTTTGATCCCCCAAAACAATAATCTTGATCCTAATCAGCTCTTTTAAGCTCTTTTAAAAAGGTTTGTTCCCATTTTGCGATTATTATTTCAGACAGTGATCCAGTCGATTCTGATCCCTTAGCCCCCCTTTACTACCCCGTATTTCTTAATGTGCAACAATGYTAAAAATGTTTACAGGCCGAGRCAAAGGTAAAACAATCCGAGGAAGCTCTAAGAAATATGGAAACGAAATCAAGACAAGTGATCATTGCTTTAAGAGAGCAACTAGATGAATCAAGTCAAGATAAGGTACGTAACTAGCAGCAAAATCTAATTTACTATCATATCATTAAGACTCTAACCAGAAAATTTTGGTATTTCCTGCATTGAGCATTTCAGGTTGCTTACATTGATGAATGTAAAAACAGATTTTTCCAGTTGATCTCAATGTTGATCTCAATGTTGATCTCAATTTTGTTTTCGTAGAAAAATATAGAAGATGACGTAAAAAAGCTAAAGAATCAAATTCAATCATTAACGGGTCAACTGAACGAGAGCGAGACTGTGCAAAGGGACTTTGTTAAGTTGTCTCAGTCACTACAGGTAAGACTTTTCCTACCTCTTTCTAGTCTTTTTCTTATTTAGCAGTTTACTAGCCTTCAATATAGCCTGAACACAAGCCACAGAGCGGCGGATCCATATAATGGATGTATGGTGTCCACCCCTGATGTGTAGCTAGGGCGGCCCAAATGTCCAGATCAATCGTATTGGTAGGGATGCGCCTATCGCTAACAAATCTATGATTTGATAATGGAACGGTCTAGTGTAAGGTCACAGATTTTGTAATTAAACCGTTACGCAACTCACACTTTTTGCATGTTATTTTTTTGAATTAATCCTGATAATCTCGATTTAGATGCAAATTGTAAAGCTACAAGAGTCTGAGCAAGATGTCCGTTGGGAACATAAAGACGATGTCAGCAAATGTCGTAAATGTAAAAAAACACTGAATGATCGCAATGATAAGGTATTTTAATATTTTATTAACGTAGCCGATGTGTGTGAAATGGTGATCGTCTTTTCTCAGTTGTRRTTGTAGAGTATTAACCAATTTTAATTRTTATTTCAGTTCCATTGCCATCACTGTGGTAARATATTTTGTGAGTCTTGTCGCTGTAAAACGTTTAGTTCACCAGTGTATCGTCGTTCACATCAAGTGTGTGATTTGTGCTACGCCATGTTATCAAATGACTCKAAAGCAATGTTTAGTAATCATTTGGATGAACAGACTAGTTGATATCACTTTAGATTATAAACAATCAGACGCAGGCTAACTCTTGTTAATACAGTAAAAGCAGAGTACAACTGAAGAAGTGACCGACTATACGCCCAAGGGTTTTCTCAGTCTCGTCAAAGTGACAAGTTTTATATCGAAATCTATATTTTTTATCGATGACWTCAGTCGAGCGTAATCCGTCATAAAACTCTCTTTAATAAATGACATGGAACACGAAGTTATTTTAAACTGCCTTCGTACGTTAAATAACGTGTTTTTCGTCCAAAAATGTGCGGCAAAAACGGGTGTAATACATTTCGAGGTGTTTTACGAAGACAAACAGTTGATCACTGCATCTATTATGATTCATAGTTAGTCCTGGAGGAATATTGGGATTTACCAKATACCTTCACTTGACAAACTGTAATTTCCATTCATTTTGTTGATTTTTGAGGTTGATATTTTGTACCTATACTACCATTTATTGTTTTGGAGGGTATCCATTTCAAAAATCACATTTTTGGGAATAATAGAAAACGAGTAATAGAAATAATAATAGAAAATGAGTATCACTATAACTACTATTGGTTAATGTATATTGAAGGCATATTGAAACTTATTGTCCAGTTTTAATTGCCTTTGATTTCATCCTTGGGAATAATTAGGGGTCATGTCACGTTCCTTGCTACCAGAAATAATAGCAAGAAACAAGCAATGCAAGAATACCCATACAACCTTGTGAGCAGGCTTTTGGTTCACTGACATGCTCACATCATCAAGCCACCATAACCACAAGTTTCAGATRGTGCAAAAAGTTGTCATATTTCTAGGGTAACTCTAATTATTTTATGAATTTGTGTGTCTTTTTCTGAGGGAGGAATTGYTCTCAAGGTAGATGTCTTATATAAATTTGGCCACAACACTGTCCAGATTTCTAGATAAAATGAATACAAGATACCATAAGGGTTGAGTGAACTAGTAGAGTGATTGCTCTTAAAGCGTGTAACTGTACAAAATCTAAGTATTACTAAAARTGGACCTGAAGCAAGACGATATTGAATGCTTTATTTGTATCAATTCAATTTGCRTACTTCATGCACAATTTACTAAATACAACTAAATAGAACTATTTAGTTTGTACAGTTGCACAGATTAGGTGCGATCACTCTAATCCATGAAATGTAAGTATTAATCAAAATAGGACAAATTTGCACTTAATCTGCAATTGCCTGAAGCAGAACATCCTTTCATTCACCATAATTCTTACACCATTGCTAACTTGCACATTAGTCCAATGAGGTTAGTACAATTTCATTCTACTGTATTTTTCATTTGTACTCTATTGACCCCAGTTTTCATAATTTTCATTATTAGAAGAAAATTGTAAATACGAGCAATAAAGAATTATACAAATTTAGAATAAAGAGTCTGTTTTAAAGGATTGAAGTTTCTTATTTTGTGAACAAGTTGTGATATTATTGACATTACTGAATGATCTCCAGCAAAACCTTGCAGATCCTGTGACGACATTGTGACTAATTTGGTTCAGTATGTTTATTCATCATTTTCAATCACTTTATACTTATGATAATCTTTAAATATAAAATATTCATGAATTCAAAAAACTAAATATATTCTATGTTACTTAAAAAAAACCTTGCACTAGCTACCAAACAAACTAAAGTGCTATTTAGTTTCATCCTTGGTGAACTGATCATGAGTTAACGACAAGACTAGTGAGAATTAAGGTAGATAAAGTATGCTATCATATGCCATTAAAATATTAATAATATATATCTAATTATTGGAGCATCTATAAAAAACACTATGCATGGAACTAAAAAGTGACAGGGATAATTTTCTGACTTATTCCTATTTCATGTGCCTATAAAATCTGAATCTCTCTGATGATTGAAATTTGGCACTTGAGACAGCCACACTATGAACTATGCATGCAATGCAAATCCCCTGCATAGATAAATGCTACGCTTCAATTAAAATCCACTTATGAACTTTAACTGCTTTGTGTTTATTGTCCCATCCAATTTCAACTTTTTTTCACTTTACACATTTCAATTTCCCCGTTTTCGTTATGTGGCCATGACCAATGATTCCTTCTGGTGGATGCACATTGTGGTGAATACAATTGAAATCCCTTGAAAGACTCAATGACTTGAATAAATGCCTTTACTCTGCACACCGTCTTCTCCTTTTCCTTGATGGTAGAGGTGAAATCAAGCGAATTTGACATGGGCTTCTGCTAAACCTTACGTGAAATCCTGAAGATTTTTTACTTCGAGGAGCKTTTAGTATTGCTTTGAGATGGAAATGTTGGTTAATCGTACCGCTGGTTTCGTGTATGATGTTATTTGTCTGTAATCTTTGGCTACGTCTACATGGTTCGTTTATGTGTATTTCATTAGTTGTTGTAAAAGAAACCAATGAGCAACCTGATGGATCCTCGGATAGACGAAAAGATCCATTTAACCCCGATCCTGTGGTTCGTTGAAGTAGACCGGCATCAAGTGCTTCAATTATAGCCATTTTGACGGAGTTTGCAAGGTTCTTCCCTCTTCTCTTACAGGTTTTCATGGCGTAGTCGAGTATCTTCTGTCTAGAAACGCCTTGTCCTTTCTCCAGATCGTCCACAGCGTCCCGAACAAGATTGATGTATTTGTTCTTTCGTAAGGTACGAGATCTTCCTCCACGTTTCAGCTTCGCCATGACGCTGGTCGAACATTTCACGGCGCACGTGGGAACGTTGCAGTTTGTTAGGCGCGGTTCTTCTGGCCTTGGTGACTCTTAATTAACATTTCTTTATGACGTCATCCAGCGCGCTTACTTATTAAACCGCGACATACACCTACCTGCAGAAACGTTGTCATACAAATTCGAATTTAGTAAAAAGGAATTAATTAAAACAAGACAAAAGAAAGCGTTCAGCCTCWGTGATCTTCTTTGTCTTTTTAATTTATTCCTTTTYACTAAAATACAAATGTCCTATTTTTGATGACAACGTTTTCGCAAGTASGTGTATCTAGTTAAAGCTAACTGGCTACAGGACTATTGCTGTTGCCAGCATCTGACTTGTACATTGTAGAGATAACTCGATGTCTATTATGGCTTCTTGCCATGGGACATTCGAAATTAAGGTCCGGCTCGAAAAGGACATTTCATTTTACTTATTTTTCGAGAACTTTTGCATTCAGAGATCTTCTTGAGAACAAATTCTTGCGATTGAGTGAAAAAAGTGGCATGAATACTTTATACTGCAAATTATAAAAAWTATTTTTTCATGAGCCATGTGAAATCATATCTTTTAATTCATATTGAGTAATGTTATAAAACGAACAGTTCTCCACRTWCCCTACGGGCCAGTGACTGCAAATCACTTGAAAGGAACATTAACACCTGGACAACAACATAAAATCAACACCTAGACCAGCCTCTGCAACGTCGAGATGAAACAATTTACCATTCGACTGATTTTCAGATTTTATTGAAATGCTGCAATTCTTTATCATTATAAATAAAATGTTTTGTAATATATGTCATTTATAAATTGATACACTTTTTCGTATTCTAAAATTTGCAATTTAAAATTTTTCAACAACATGCAATTACAAAACAAACATGTACAATCTTTACAAACACTGACTAGTAAAGAGACTTTAGAGTGAAGTCATAAGACCATGAAACAARACTTGACTATTAAAGTGTGATAGTCAAATATACACAAAAGAAAACAGTGCAATTAGAGCGCAATTAGAGGTGTATCGRTTTAATACCTATTTCACGGKTTTTTTKACTTCACTCTATCAGGGTAACTAAAAACATGGATAATGGTAAAAACTATTGTAAYACGGACAGAAAAGTGGTTTTCACTAAATTAGAGTGAAGCCAAAAAACCGTGAAATAGATATTAAWCTAAATACACTATAATACGCTCTAAATGCTTCAACGTTATAAATTGTTTTATTTGCGATTTTCTAAACGACAATATATTCACACTCTACATACCTTGTTTCCTTTTCGTTCTACTTGGCTACCATATTTAAATGRTCAAATTTTGTTTAAGTACTTCACTCTAAACATATTAAGTCATTAGAAAATCACTTTTTCACTGTTCGATAAAAACCACTCTAACAACGAACAACACTACGACACAAAAAAATCTCATCCGAATGACGAGGCCTCGATGAGATTAGATGGAACTGATGACACCGATGACATGCTGCCTTTTGTTCTCTGCAAAGTATGAAAGGTGCGCAATATCTTTCACGCAATTGAGTAGGTACAGCAAACTTAATAGGATTTGAGAATTTCCTCCAAGACTTTCTTGGTCAATAATTACACATTTAGTTTATCCAATGAAGCCCTGCAAAAAAATTAATTGTTTTAGTATCGTCTTGTGGAGGAAGTGAGAATGCTATGCAGAAAGACGTAGATTWTTCAGCTTCTGAGTGCAACTATGAGGTGAGTATTMAATAATACCTTGCTTCTAAGATTTGCTGCTCAAGACGACCCTACAAAAGAAAAGAAAAACTAAATTATCTTCCAAATTCTTTGCTTTCTAGAGCGAAAATTAGTAAATGTTGTTCAATTAGCCCAATGTAAATTCAAAGCATTTTAAGCTCCAGATGCAATAAATTWAGTTCAAATTTGATTAAACGCGTTCACTCTACTCATGGCAGAGTAGTTTGTTGAGTTTGGTTACCAATATCTCTATTATTAAGAATTRTTGTCTTGTTTACCCTAATAGTATCGCTTTTTGCACGCATCAATCGTCCTTCAAGGTCATCGATTTCAACTTTGATTCCAACAGCATTGTGCCACACCCTTATCTGTCGGTCATTGCCTCCAGCAGTTGCTAGGTAACGTGAAGAGGGGTGCCATGCAATAGCGGTTATGTTATCTATGGATATAAGAGACGTCAGCAATTAGTAAATGAATTGCCTCCTGAATTGACATCATGACAACTGAGGAGACTCAGAACATTGACACTAYTCATAAAAAAAAGTATCATCACCATACCYCCGTGAACGTCTTCAAGGAATTCTTCAAGGTTTCCATTTTCAGTGTTAAACAAAGCCAGAGATCGTCCCATTGAAATAGCCGTGACATATGCGTCAGGAGACATGGCAATCAGCATGTTATCAAAGACATTACATGACGCATCATARATTCCAGTCAATAACAAATGAGGGTCTTCCTTCTTGATGTATTCGACTGCAAACAAAAATACTCATTAATCTGAATAACGACATAATCCAGTTTTTACAATTATGAAAAGCGCAGGGCGGGGTCTAATATTTTCGAAAAAAGGGTAGCAATTTTGGTTTCTGATATACCAACCACAGCGTTAAACAACGAATGTACCTATAATTATTATAGATTTGATTTTTTTCATTACTAGCTAAGCGTTTGTAAACAAAGAAAGAAGAGATATAACTGAGATATAACTGCTAAAAAGGAGGAAAATGGATCCGCACAGGAGGTGGTTTGCAAGGAACAGTTAAATAAAGCAATACTCTACAGGGGAGGGGAGGGGAGGAACTTGCCATCAATGTCCCACACTCTCCATGTACCATCTTTTGAGACAGTAGCCATCCTAATAAAACAGACATGGTGTTTGAAGAAAATCTTTTTAAAATCTTTCTCTGTGAAGGTTTAAAGCTCAAAAAATTGAAAAGTCACACATGTACACCTAAGATCCACAATTTTTCATGCATTCCAATAAATTTGATCAAACAGTGTTAATACTAAACTAAATGTCACATTCAAAGCACACAGCTATGCCTGGTGAAACAATAAATATCTTTGCTCTCTTGAGCATCAATTTATTGAGTTGCAATCCTATTTAGTGAATCAAGTATTTCTTGATTTTGTAAAGTATAGAAACTGTAAGGAATGAATATACCTCGTTGAATCAGATGAAAATGTAAAGTGGTAAACACCAGCAGTGTGCCCTTTCAGTTCCATTGCCCGGGATACCTGTGTAATCAGAAAGCTAATSATAAGAATAGTTTTTGTACATCATTTACATGATTACTATGACTTTCCTCATTATTTCTTTCATTCCYTTTGAATATAATCTTTTTCAAGTTATAAATTTAAGCACTATCATTGTTTGCAATGAACAAACCTTTCTGAAACCATCTGATTTATCAAATTCAACTTCCCAAAGCTTGACATCAGGTGTGAATCCTGTTTTCAATGAAACAAAATATGATTSATAAGATAATAGTAAAAGAGAACAATGTCTCTTCTCTAAGTTCAGAATAAAGCTCTGAAACATATTTTAAGGTTTGTCATGAAGATGYAGTGGCTTTGAAATAATCAATGTTGAATGGAACTGAGACACAGAAAGCAATGTACTGGACMAGTATCCTGGGGGTAAATCCTGCTCACAACTGTACATACCTGCTGAMGCAACAAATTTACCACAAGGTGATAGACTACAAAATGTGTTTTGCATTTGAAGGGTGTCAAGTGTTGCTAGAACTTCACCTGGTAAAATCATAGAATTTTTTTGAGTATTAATTTGTTGTCAGTATTGATAAAAGTGCAATTATAATGATATTTTGATAACTGAAAAAATGAATGGTTGGATGAATAAATGAATCATGAAATCTTGCTTTTCTTTAAGCATACCTTTCAGATCCCAAAGAATAATGGTTGTGTCTCTAGAACATGACATGATGTACTTTCCATTTGCAGCTATAGCAATATTAATAATCTCTGTTTTATGCCTGACYGGGAAATCAAATTCACCAGTGACTGCCGTCCCACTGCCATCCTTCTTTTTACTTGTTTTAAATACTCTTATTGTATTCCCATTGGCCAATGCAGTGATGAATGCTCTATAGATTAAAACATTTCATAATAACATGATTATACAATGTTTACATGCTAAATGAAAACCTGCACATTATAAGAACTAAAATTTAGTCATTAAAAAAATGCTTGTAACACAAAGTCAAGTTATGAGTTCAATAAAAACAAGCAATGTTTGTGTGTCAACTGTACTGAAAAAAGTACTTTGAGAAAATAGTAATAGTAATACAAGAATTGAGCCTGTTAATTGAGCCAGTTGATTGTGGAAAAACAAAGAACAATTCAAAAGGACCAGCTATATTGTCCATCTAAAACTGACTAATCACTAGAGGTGACAAACCCAGAACTTCTAAGAAATAATTATCAAATCCATTAATAGTTAATAAGGTAAACATAATGGAAAATCATCCTTTTGACMGAATCTTTATTATATGAGCAAGAAATTTGTCCTGTTTTGCATATAACTTTAACTTCAACTTTCTCTTAAAACCGATATTCTCTCTTGAAGATTAAATCAAAATATGCTTTAGCTTGTGTAATAAATGGATAGGCAATATATTTATGTCAAACCACTTGCTGATTTAAATGCCTACATAAAGGTCTCCGGCTCATATTTTATATWTTACATAAAAATATTTTATTGAGTTTTAGATTTTAGATTTCTTTGGTTTAGACATGATCATGATGATTGTTTTCTCTTCAGTTAAGTAAAAATGTCAGAACACTCATGATGTCAAGTTTAAAAAGATGAAGTCTATTTCATATATTAATTTTATTAATAACTATTATTGCATAAATTTTATTCAATATTGTTTGTGCAAACCTACTGGTTCAAGGTGCTTGTTTAGTAAAGTTTAGTGCAACACTATACGTGCAACAACGACAAACCTGAATCTGAGAGGTTTTTGAGGTTGTCTTATATCTTCACTGTTGATACAACAAGAGTTTATCATAATGATGACTTTATTTTAAGATTGGTTATCATGATCAGATGTCTTTGCAGCATTACACATCAAATGCAAAACAAAATAAAATAAATGATTTTTCAAAAGAAAAGATTGTTGCAGCAAATATTAATGTAAAACAAAACCAAACATACAAAGAAATAGCACACTGACTCTAAACTAATAACTMAAAAATGCTACAATATTGCACAACATAATCAAGCAAGATTATTAAGGTAGCGTAATAGAGCAAAATTATCAATATGCTAAGCTGATCACATGTTGTTTGCATACAAACACTTCTCATTTGTTGATCTACACAATCATGCAATGAAAAAATAAACAGGTAAAATAAGCAGATGAACAATTGCATAAGCTTAAACTATAAAGGTTGCCTAATGTGACAAGGGGAGGTAACATTAACACAACCTTTTCACATCACCTACTAGACATAATATACTATCCAGACTCAATCCCTCAAGTAGTATTGCATCAAATTTGTCAAGAAAAATATTACAAAATCTTCTCAGGTCAAATGTACAATGATGACCATTAGAATAATGCTATGAAAATTATGACTATTTTCTTAGTGTTTTCTTTGGGTAAATAAAAAAGAAACAATGTATATCCAGAGTTGTGATACCAAATATCAAGATTCTAACTATTCTTTCACTATGAAAACAACTCTAGATATGATCATGTTTGATCTGAATTCAAGTTGAGTGCATTCATCCTTTGCATTATGCCTTGATTAAATTCATGTTTCTTTAAAAAATGAATAAATGCAGCAAATGCCACTTTCAAGCTAYATGTTCATGCTAGCATATARCAAATTAATGTGCTGTTATTAAAGTACACAATGATTTTGATACAAGCTGTGACATACCTTGAATCAGGACTGAAATTGACTTTAGTTGCATGATCAAAATCCACATTTGCCCGTATATATCTAAGGATAAACAATAACATACGACATAAGTGTACAATTCTTGATGACAGTACATCATGCCACTCTAAAAACTAATAGAGAAGTCCTTTTCTTACTTGTGCTCTTTTTCTTTGAAGTCTTTTACACTCCATAGTCTTACTGTTCTATCTGCAAAAACAAAATAATAATATTAGGTATTAATAAAATTTGGTTAAAACTGCATTATTTTTTATTGAAAAAATTTCTGTTCTTTTAAAGTAATTCATGCTCTAAGATCAATTATTCTACACTTATTTATTTTCATTCTGTAAATTTATGCATTGATTTATGGAATTTCATGTCTGGAGGATGCTATGAGTTGACACCCACCCTATCAATGSATGGTCACAGAATCCGAAATGAAATATTTACAAAACAATCAAGTGACACAATGATGATGCTGCAGAGATGAAACAAAACTTAAATTATAATTTGTTTTTAACAAGAATTTTCTTTTCTCCATACACAATTAGCACTAAGTTCATTTTGTAAATAATCAAAAATTTAAATGATGATTTACTTCACTTAAGAATAATGTTTCATCTCGATGTTATTGTAAGTTCTTCATACAATATGCATGAACTTTATTTTAACTAAAAAAATACTAAACATCATGGATGCCTGAAAACAATATCATCATGATGATAGAATACAAACTCAATATCACCATTTACTGAAAATATTCGCACCTGCCTACACACACACACAGCTAGTAGATTAGTTGCCATTACACCTCACATCTGATTGACACTAGGTCTCCATAATATAGAGTATATCAATTAACACAATATTGACCAATTGCATTRAATTGATTGATACTCTCTTACATTTAATGTTGAGATAATCCATKTTGTTTGCAGAAGATACAATATTAATAACATGGTTTTCCTATGTTATCATTGTTATCAGCATGAATATAGACAAATGGCTTATCATTGGAGGAAAGTAATACTTCAAATGAAGCCTTGAGCTAAATTCATTTATATAAGGTATAAATTGAATAATCATATAGTAATATAGTATGGTTTCCAAAAATATAAATCGAAGGGTTTTTGGCTGTTTTTTCATAATGAACAGTTCTTTCATGATGAAAGATTACAATAATTATTGGAAATGGTKAACAACTTAAAAGCCATTGTTGACTACTGTTTATTGTATGATCTATTCTTGTATCAAGGAAAGCATAGGAGTTGTAATTTTGACCATACACTGTTAAGATAAAACTCACTAAGTTTAATGTGTGATGCAGCTAATAAGATCCTGGAATACGAAAAAATTCATCACTGATGTCAGTCTGTTGTGCTATTTTTATCCCTGCTTGACATGTATTTTTTGTTCTGAAATRAGCTATTAAGATCACCTTAATAATCAATATTATTTTGAATTAGCAACATTATTTCGTAAGTCTGACCATTTTAATAACCCAATATATAAATCATGGATCTTTACTGCCCTTTAACAATTGTTACTGGTTAGATCGTAGATTGTATATATATATATTTAAAAATATCATCGCCGGAAAAATTGAACACGTGTCTTACAAATAAGAAAGTCAGTCTTTACTAAGACAACATCACAAATAAAATTGCACATAACCTTGAGCCGCAGACGCTAAATATTTCCCATTTTGACTGAAATCCAGATCAAATACATGGTCTGTATGTCCTTTGAGGAGGGAAAACTGTCTTCTATGATTCTGTACGACATTGCTGGTCTTTTTCTTAGAAGACGTCCGCGGTTTTATCTTTTTTTGTCCGTTTTTATCCTTATGATTTACACTGTCGCTGAGTTCTTTAGATTTTTCTTCCTCAGAGGAATTTTGAGAATTTTTCCTTAAGCTAAAGAACACAAATGCAGCCAATCCTAGAGCTCCTAGGAACACAGAAACTGCAATAATACCCAAAGCACTCTCTAACCCAACAGTGTCCGCCATCTTGATTCCAGCACCTGTGAAGAGCCTCGTTCTCGCGATTCTTTGCTACAGCGCAGAAAATCGAACGTTGTATCATGCACAAGTACGGAGGAGATTACKGCAACTTCTCYCACAAAATCATTGCTCTTGAGTACGTTTTGAATAGTTATATGTGACTGACACATTTTTGAGTGACTGGTAACATAAACGCCTCAACCCACTATTTGTTTTATCATGAACATACGATTTCAAGAACAATTAATACATTTTATCTTACCTGATGAGCTGGATATGATGTATTTACCATTGCTACTAAACTCAACCCCTTCAACAAACGTCTTGTGTCCCATAAGGCTTGCAGCTTGCAAAGGATGAGGAGGCATGTTGACTCCGCTTAGCTGTATCTTGAAACTACGCTTCCTTAAACTCACTTTTTTGTTAGTCTCCATCCAGGGTGGTATCACTTTTGAAACAATAAATTAACCTCAATTATTGTCTTACTCTTATCAATTCTTAAACGCAAGTGTGAACCGTAGCAATTCTTTTTTTTAATGCAATTTACCGTGTGTTTTGTTTTGAAAACAGACGGAACGCGTCGCGTGGTTATGACATGAAGGAACCGCCAGTTCAACCTGTAAAGTCTTACAGGTAGATTTTGTCGTAATCTTGGCGCGTCGCCAATTTCTCGATTTTAAGCGGATCCTTGATGTTGGTTATATTGGGCGTGTGGTTTGTTTGACAAGTGCCAACACCAATTTACTGTATTCTGTAAACTATATCGCGGATAATTGGCCACAGGTCGGACGCAAAGGCAAGGCAATTGGTTTTGTTATTCTCTACGAGTTTCTGTTGAATGGGATTCGACGATTGTCCATTAACCGCAGTAAAATTAATGAAAGCTTCTTTTCATCCGACTCTTAAAATACTTAACCCTGATTGGCCGCTGAAAACTTGTTATAATACAAAACACGTCGGTTTTTAGATTTCCAATATTAGTCCAATAGAAATAGGAAATTCTATTTGACCATATTATTTGGCCATTGTTTTAATCGTTAAATAATATGGCATAGCGTCTTCCCTACCTCAAATGGAAGAACTTCATTTTCCAAGTAAAACCAAATAGGGGCGATGGCAAGCCAAAACTAGATTAAAAAGACTTTTTGTTGATGGCGAACGAACTCTTTTTTTAATGACATGTACTTAAAAAATCAAGGGAAACCCGGTTGAGTCGGTTTAAATTCCGTTTCTGAAAATAATCTGCGATGGAACTCCGCTCTGATAAATTGCCTCAAGGTTCCAAGGCCGGAAAAGYGCCTGACGTAGGCTGGTACAAAAGTCTCAGTATACACTTGGGTTATAATAAAGACATGAATAAGCCTACTTTAAAAACATTTTAGCTGCTTTAGTGTGGAAAGTACTTGCCTCTTGAATTGTCATATCATGTGAAACAATTGATCAGTTTAATTCATTGCAAATGGTCATCTGTCTAATATTCAATCTTATTTTACTTCAGTATGATTCGCGCTCCAGCATAACAGTGAATCAGGAAAAACAATCCTGAACAAGACAAAACAAAGCCAGTTTCATTAATACTGTTCGTCACACTATGCCCTTCCCGAGTAACTAGATATCGYTAACATTGTAAAACGAAATTGAATTTACAATTATTTTTCATTGGTAGATTTGGAGTACAGCTGCTTCGAAATTGGTATATACGGAAGTTGAATCAAAATCACTACTAGGCKCACTGATAAAACAGTTCATTTCCACAACAAATCAACAAGAAGAAATATACAATTAACGAAGCCAGATGATAGTTCAAAGAATCTTTTACTGGACTGGTCAGTAAATGTGCAGTGAATGGTAATAAGGCCTTGTTAGAGAATAAGACAAAGAACGGTGCTGATTAACCATACCAAAAACTACCTGCCGATGTGATCTCTGCCGATTGAAGCATAAGAAGTACTGCGCAAACAAGCGGAATTACATACCCTTATCTATTACGTTGACTGAAATATAAAAGTATAAAATGTATAAATAAAAGTATACATTAAATTTTTTGATAAGTGATAAGAGTACCAGTGAATAAGAAGGGTTTGTCAACATTAATCTATATTACTAAGTGCTCTGTAGTCTTGCAGTGCAGGGGAAAATGCGTCATCCTGTGTCATATCACTAATGAAAGCAAAAGTTTTTTTTCAATCAAGGGAAACAATACAGCATTCAGTCCAAGAGAGCCAGTGTTTTTACTGATAGGGCATTGACATCACAGTAGTAATAAAAACCATGTAACTACACACACTGGTAAGCAGTACAAGGGTTATTGGATGAAAGGCGCTTTATCAATAAAAATGAACACATATAGAAACCAGACTTGTAAGGGTGAACATCAAATATAGGGTCGATTTTAATTACTAGATGTTTCTTAAGATGTTTTTCATATTAGTTGATCTGACTAACCTTGACCTGTAGACTAACAAGTTTTATTAGTGGGTATTTTACAGTACTAATGCCAAGTAATCATAATGGCGAAGTGGGATATGAGAGAGATCAATGAACTTACTGCGTCCACACACCCTTAGATATGGCCATGCTTATCAAAAAGAAACCAAATGACGACTCATTGCGAGGTCTTTACTAAGAGCGATGTTGATATCGCTAC